AAGAAATAACAGTTCAGATCACAGACAGAAGAGTGGAGCTGCCTCTCTCAGTCCAATCCATGCTATTCAGTTTTCACATCAACCTCAAGAAGCTCAACTCCATAAAGTCCTTCTGCCTATTTCTTTTGAGAGTGCCAAAAATTAACCAAGCTCTCAACTGCCACGTGCCTTGCAATCTCCCACAGGTGACGTGACTCTTACATTTTGTTTTCCACTCTCTAGAAAACAAGGGAGTCTCCAGAAAACAAATACACTTGGAAATGCCCAGTTGATTAATAGCTAAACTCGTACAGCAAGCAGCTGGTGACCAGCTCAGCCTCTGCACTGGGAATGTGTAAATCATAAATAATTAAAAGGTAATAGGAAGGAGAAACCAAAGCATTACGCAGGTTTCTCTCTGGGTACCTGGTGGTTTCTATTGCTGTCAATCACATCCTCAGGATTATTGTCTTGTACGTTAGTCATCCCAGCCCTCACGTTAACAAGTGAGCTCAAGTTAACATTTGTAAGTAAACTAATTAAGTCGGGTTAAGCCTCTGCCCACGAAAGCCAAAAATCACTGAAATCTGGTTCAAGTTTTTCACTGCCTTGGAAACAGAACTGCACGCTGCCGGACAGTGAAAATTTACAGAGGTCGGCTCTCAGCTCTAGCCATGCCAGGAAAGGACAGGAATATGAACAGCAGCGATCGCTGTGTCTGGATTTCCTGTTTTGGATAGTCCTCCATCTGCTCGTGATTTAGTCATTCATAGGAGGGGACACATCCAGAGATAAAATACTGAGGAGTCAAAACACCAACTCCAGTTGCAACCCGACAATCAGACCGAAGCGACTGAGATGCTGCATCAATATGCTTTATTAGATTCTCAGGGGCATAATCTTGCTGGTGACACTAAGAGGGCCCCCACTCCAAATACACACAACCTGTCTTGTTGGGTCCAGTATGCTCTCAGAGAATGTTATGCCATGAAGGAGCAAAGGGCCCTTTATATATCTGCTTTACACACTTGCCCCTCAGAACTCAGCAGATTTTATGGAAACAATGAAAAGGACCATAGTACAATTTAGTATTTTTTGACCGAAGAATCTCGTTGCTGGAAGAGTCTGATTCACCTGGCATGTTGAGAGAGGTAAAAGAAAAAGAGCACCGTAAAGGATTTGCCAGAAACGATCAGAGAGAGATGACCAGCCACCTGCAGAGATGCGTGCATCACGATCGGTACTAACTCTCATATAGGAATTCCCAACGGCAAAAATCCGTATCTGGAACTCCCGACAAACAGTCTTTTCTCAGTCCGAGATTCAGCTCTGTTCCTTTACACAGAAGTGCCACATCTGTTCAGTACGTGTGCCACTGACACACATACTGATAGCCACTGGGCAGTTCAACCAGCAGAGGGTTTGAAATCATTCAGACAATTTAAAATAAAACCATAAAAATAAAGCAGAGCTGATTTCCGCTTCAGAATATTTATATTTTACATGATACCACATATTTGTACAATTTTATTATATGTACTTTATAAGGAGGGAACCAAACTTCATTATCTATGGGACAGAAAGAGACTTTTGTGATACTCCAGCTGAGCTACTTCACATATACATCACCATCACTGTAATGAGAAGAAATACAAGTAGCTGATACCATAAGGAAGAACTTCAAACTGTGCCCCCCATGCACTCAGTTACAGAAAATTATACTAAACACAAAGCTGACACTCTGTGAATCAACAGGAAAACACATTTTTGTGTCTATTTTCCCAGTCCCCAGATTGTGTGCTCTTATTCTACACAGATTGTCTGCAGGGGCATTCACACTCAGCTTCCGCAGGCCATTAAAATAGAACATGAGAAGACAAGCGATCATGCCACCTGAACAGCTTATTCTGAAGAGAATCCACATGGACAGTTAGCCTTGTGGCACAAATCCTTGGGGAACCACGCTTTTTGGGGTCTGCAGTGCATGGACAACTTCTGCAGTGGGTAAGAGCCAGGACAGAGAAACAGCGCCTATGACATTAAATAAGAGGGCAGGAGAGTTCTTCCTTAGTGAGCTCCTTATCTCCCAAGGCAATTATCTCAAGTCTTACTGTTGCTCTTCTACCTAATCTGCAAGTTCAAGTGCTGGATTCATGCTTTCCAGCTCAGGAGGAAGAATTCAGACTGTGGCAGGATTCCAGGGTCCAATTTTACTGTATCAAATTCATATGAGAGCTCACTCACCTCTCTTCTGCATAAAGATGAAGAGATCATCCAGGAACTCTTTCCGTTCAGGGTCACTATCCAGTTCATAGAGCTGGGGGGAAAAATAAAAACGAAGGTACAATCCACATTGAGACAGATGGAAGAAATTAATACTATTACTTTATTCTAACAAGAGTCACCTGGTGTTTGTACTGGGGGGATACGAAAGGCAACCAGTAAGGAGGCAAAACAAAGATGGACTTCTGACCTCATCAGTGGACAAGGCTGAAGCAATAGTCTCAGGACCCTCTTTTAGGGTTTGTCTTGCTCAGCCTCTCCGTAACTCAGGCAGGTACAGTACAGCTTGGCGTTCTGAAGGAAAGAGGGTTCAAGCCTGCTGCAAAGCAGAGTTTGAAACCATTTGAGAGCAAAGGGGAGGAAAACTATTAAGATAAGCTGAAAGAAGTCAGAAAAGAAAGATGACACAACCAAAAGGTATGCAACAGTGATTCAGGGAAGATCAGTGGTCCATACTTTGAGGCTCCAGGGAGGTAAATATCTCTTCAACTGCTCCGAACCTCACTGTTCCCTCCTTCAGGGTTTGTCACATAAGTGACAAACTCCAAGTCCCTTGAAGGAGGAGATGAAAGGATAGAGCTTTCCTGTGACAACTAATGCCTAATGGGAAAGGGTCCTCTAAAATAAGCCAGAAAGCAGCAATGCAATACAAATATGAAGAATCACCCTGGAACCAATTTGCTGGAACCAATTTTGTAAAAATGCTTCAAAAATCCAGCATTTCCAACAGTTTCATAGGAAGTTTATCCCCAAAAAGACATACTGTATGCTAGCGTTATCTGCTGGCATTTCAGAAGGGGCAGGCACGAGACTATCATCTCTTACAACTAGCTCTTGAACAGCAAATCTAATTTTCACCTATCAAGAATCCTATGAAGCCTTAAAGTGACCGGCTGAAAGGGTTGAAGTCAGTCTCTCACTGAGATACAGGGAGGTATAAAACAAGGCAGAGGAAGAGGGCATAAACCTATCACTGGACAAACATATTTCAGCCTCTCTCAAGAGACGCAGCTAGTTACTTGGCACTCATCTAGATGTCAAAAAGAAGAGGGGCTTATTGGGACCATTTCCTATGCAGCTCTACACTTTCTTACACACTAAGCTCTGGGGAAGAAAACGCACCACGGTATTTGCAGAGCAATTAGCTACACCCTTTCAGAAATGGCCAGCTTAGTTTAAAATGAATTCCTCTGGCTACTGTGACACATTGCTGCCACATTCAGATCTTTTACCACAATGCTCACCAGTTTCAAGAAATGAAATCCTGTTCCGCCAGCCAAGGAAAGTATCGACCAAAATTTTAAATGTCATAATTATAGTGGTTATGAAGTCTTAGTGCAAGCCGCATTCCAGGAATCAAAAGCAACAAAATAACCCAACTTTGCAGGTTTATAGCCAGAGGGCTGCGAGATACCTTCAGAGCAGCTTTCTCACACATTCCCTCAGTACAGAAGAATAGTGAGGGCTCAGCAGATGCTCTCAGTCACAGACCAGTGAAGGAATACCCCCAAAGTCACCCCCCCCGCCTTCTCCAAAACCTGACCAGGCTGACCTTGGCAAAGTCTCGTGAAATTTCTCTTCCTCGGCATCCATCACCTTCATCACTCCAGGTCACGCTGCCGTTCTAGGGGAAGAGAAAGAGACAGATGAACGGGCAGAAGGATTGCCAGGGAAAGGCTTGGGGGACAATTCCAAAAAGCTTGCAAATGTGCGTTTATGGGCACAAACACATGCAAAGGAAGACAGCTACTGGCTTAGACCAAAAAGACGAGAAAGAGGAGGGACACCTGTGTTTTATTTACAACACGCGCTCCTGGAATCTCTGACACTCAGCTCAAACTGAAAAACGTCATTTGGTCTTCCAGGTGAATACTGAGGGTAGGGGATGTTTCTCAACTCTAAGATCTTTCCCACAGAAGCACAGATGCAAAAAAGTTGTCTTACACTATGGAAAAGGAACATTCTAACGGAAAATTCTCAACACGTTTAACAGCCATCTTCTTCCTTCTGCTAAACACAAGCATGCTAACGCCCCTGCAGCAGGTGCTTTGCTGTAGCAAGGATCAACACCTAACTAAAGGGGCACGACTGTTGCTCTCCACGTTCACCTTTTTACCAAGTACACATCCTAAGAGCTGCTGGTGACGGGGCGGGTGTTATCCACATCTCCCTGCTCGCATAGGGCTGTCGTTCCTTCCTGTTACCCGGCTGACACAGAACTGTTCCACTTCACTTTTGGAAATGCCCGTCTGCCCTCCCCTTACTTGTCTACAAACTAGAATACAGAAATAGGGAGAGATGCAACTGGAACACTTTTTGCCAACCCGGTACCCCTAAATCCTGAAAGCTACTGAATCTGGATTCTCCATACAGAAATGGAAAGCTCAGCCTGGCTGGATCAGGATTTGTTTTTCTTCAGCATTAAGAGGACTGCTCTAGTGAGGCCTATTCTGCGTGGTAAACCATCACCGGGACTGGAAACCAGCAAATCGGGCAGCACTGAGAACAGAAGGATGATCCTGGACACTATTCAGGCATCTTTAAACCACGACGTTAGCTCTACAGCCAGTGCTCCAGAGCCACCCATGCAAAGAGAGTAGCCAGTTCCACCTGGCAAGGTGCTTTGTCTGTCCTCTGTCCTGTTTACAAACTCAGCATCCTAAAATAGGCAGAAATGCACTGAAGACTGAAAGAGATTTCAACAGGAAAATACAGGTTAATTAGAGATGTGGTCCAATAACTGAAATCTTGGAGTCATCTGGTTGTGACAAACACATTGAATTAAAAAGACGAATAGCTCTTGTCAAGGCCAGCCAACGCTACATTTCCCCCTTTAAGAAACCCAGCAGTGAGCTGCCTTAATGCCTGCTGATTTCTTTTCAGCCAGTAATTC